ATTTTCATAGAATATATTCGAGCGGAAAATTTAATCAAAACCTCATTAGAGTACAACCAGCTTCCACAGCCCGCAGCCCGCAGCCCGAAGCACGCAGCACGCAGCACGCAGCAACCTGTACGGTGGCAACACCTGGCAAAATTATGACAACCAAGTAAAGCTGAGGGCCCCATAAATGTGAGGGACGCGTTGACAAAACAGATGCGAACCCTCAATTTGTCGACAAAATGCAAAAAAAAAAAAATAGATGAATAAAATGAAATAAGTCAAGAAGGGACAAAAAATAAATTCAATTCAATTTTTGACACAGGGCTAGGACAGCCGGCACATGGTATATGTCACTGTAAATGGGCTTTGTTAGGGCCAGACAAAAGTGAAAGGGATGCAGAGCGAAGGCTGGGCAGGGCGGCGGAGTGATTGGAGGTGAATGAATGCCCATCAATTTGGCAGTTGTCATTTATAAATTTGCTTCAGCTTTTGTTTTATGCATTTCATTCGTGTCTTAGCGTGGGTGTGTTAAGACGCGAGTTTAATGTCTCAGCCAGCTAGCCAGCATCTCGGTTGTTTTTCTTTTCTGGTTTTTCCCTGCTGCCTGTTTATGTGCGCCACATAAAACTATCAATTTATAGCTGCAAAATCGTTGCGCGCTGTTTCCTTTTGCTGGCGCTTCCTGCAGACGACGCCCTCACACACACACACACACACAGAGTGCATTAGTGTGCATTGCGCGCTCTCGTTTCGTGGGTTTTGTTATTATTGTTGGCAGCATTTTAGGCGCCATGGCGACGAGACAACAGGCGTTTCAGCTTTGGCTTTGGCTTTGGCTCTTTTGGCTTCTTTTGACTCGTTTGGCTCTTTTGGCTGTTGGCTTTCTGGGAGTGGGCGAAAAAGGTTTTCTCGCTCGAACTTTGTTACAACATTTTTCGACTTATTTTTGTGGCGAGCTCCACTCATTCACAGGGACCTGCGCTTGCATCACGTATACGCCATGTCACACTCGCACTCGCACTCGCACTCGGCCTCTCTCTTACTCACTCTCACTCCGTCTCTTGCCCAGTCGACAGAAATAGCAAATAGCAATTGCATACAGACACACACACACACATAGTTATAATGGAGCCCAGCTCACACTCCTGCTGCAAGCATCACACTCAACAGCTCTCCCCTCCCTTGACTTACCACGACTTTAGATACGCTACTCAGCTGCGACTTGGCAACAGCCAAATCCTTTTTATGCTTTTGATTTTTTGACACTCGACGTGTTGTTGTTCTTGCGCTTGTTGTTTGTTTGTCATAGTTGTTGTTGTTGTTGAGTGTCTTAGTGTCAACATGCGTTGATTCTCTCAAGCGTATGTCCTGGCTTATGTGCCAGTTAGTTACAGGATGTAGCAACTTGGTACAGTTGTGTCTTACGCGTGTAAGTTGCTCTCCGTCGATCTGAACGTGATTTGCATGCAGGCTTCCAGCTAAAGATTTATTGAACTTGCCACGCTTATGGAATTCTGTCAAACTTCTTTGCCCAATTTGCATAAGCTGCAGCCATACTTATCGATGTAGTTTGTATTGCCTTTCAAGCTAGTTCTCCAAACTTTTCCAAACATATTTAAATAAAATGAAAAGAAAAAAAAAAACAAATTTTAAGTGCAACATTCTTCTAGAAAGTTGATTTAACTGTCAAAAAGTTTTTGTTTCTTATGCGTCTGTTAAGGGACGGCAAATAAACGCGCCAGCTGCAGCCCAGACATTTATTATAATATTTTTATAATACTTTAAAAGACCTCAGCTTAGTCTTTCTACTTAAATAATTCAATTGGATTAAGTTTGTGTCTTCAGCTTCAGTTTTTTCGCCAGTTTGCTTTGATCAAAATATTTTATTATTTCATTAACTGCAATTAAAACAAAGTTAACTTTGTGCTTGAGATAAAATATAATAATAATTATTAGCTTGAAAATTGCCTAAGATATAGCTAGGGCAAAGAGAGCTAAGCTCAGTTTACAGTTTCTGTAAGTAATAAAAAAGCTTGCAAAAATAGTAAAAATTAAATTTTCTTTTAAAATTGAAAACAAAAATTGCCTTGACAACTTTTGTTGGCTACCTGTAGGCGCAGTAGAAAGCTTTACCTTTCTTTTTACCCCTGTGAATATGTAACTGAAAAGCGAGCTGAACTGCAATTGCAGCACAAATGCTACTACATAAGAACTTTTGCGCGCTTATTTCGATTTATTGCACAATTGTTGGGTGCCCGAGGTGGGGGCGTGGGTAGGGGCGCAAACAAGCACAAAAATCAATTTAAAGTTCAATAGCCTCGCTTGGCCCATAAGCAGACGACATACAAGAAAGCAAAAAAAAAACAAAAACATGGCAAATAGACTGGGAAAGAAACGGGCGACAACAACAAGCAGCAAGCTCGTCCAAAAATTTTTAGCCATGTTGCAAGTTGCAAGTTGCAAGTTGTGCACCCACTCAAGCGCTTCACCTCCTACTTCATCATGTTGCTTCTCCCTGTTGCAGGGCGCTGCATAGTTATTTGTGTGTGAAATTAAGTTCAAAGTACAAAATGTGGGTTGTCGACAACTGCAATGGCTTGGCTCGCCTTGCTGTGCCACGCCATGAGCTCAACTGCAATATAAATGGCACAATAGCTGCAGCGACAGCAGTCAGCATTGTACTAACGGTTAGTTATAATGGTCAGCCATAAGCTGAGAGAGAGAGAGAGAGAAGGATACAAAAAAAAAACAAAAACAAGAAACCCATAAAACTAATGGGCGTCGCACATAAAAACTGTTTTGGGTCAACGTTGCGTATACGCAATGCGCCTTAATTCATGCATATGCAAATGGCGTGCGGCAACTGCAATCGAGACATGTGAAATCAGCATAAATATGAGCTGTTAGCTGCGCGTGGGCGTGGCGTGCCATGGCATGGCTGTTGCAGCCAAACGTGCCCAAGTATCCATTGACGCAATTAAATGCGATGGCAGCGACCGCGAAGCGCATTGATAAATGGCAATCGGCGACGCCGCTGGTGGCGACATTGTCATCGCCATCATCGTCATCATCATCACCGTTTCGGGCTCTTCAAAATGCAAATGGCTCTTTGGCACGCCAGGGACTTTCGTTCCCTGTCGCCATCTATCGCCCTGGCCGCTGTGCCTAACGAGGCGTTGGGCGTCACAACTTTTTGCACCTGCCTCTCATCAATTGATTTCATGCTGACAGCAGACAACTGAGAACATGATGCCGACTTCATTTGGCAGACAGTCTTACAAGTAGCAACAACTAGACAGCGCGACAACTGGCAAGTTGCTAAAGGGGTTTGTGCCACCAGCTGAGCGGGCGCCCGAGCGCTCGGGCGTTCGGCCTGGGGTTGCGCCTGCTAAACAATTGAGTGTCAAGTTGCGCGCATTGCTTATGCACTTTTCGCAGCTGCTGTTCTTGTTGGTTTTGTAATGTGCATTAATGCGCTGCAAGGTGATTCAGCAGATATGCAACTGCAAATGGGGAGTTGCAATTTCATCTTTTTTTTTGCCTAGAGTTGACAACTCGAGTTGAGCCCGGGACTTGCGGCTGACAAGTGCTGAAGGGCAGGCACTTAGTTAGCATTGTTATGCTTGTGTGTGCCAGACACTTGAACAGTGCCACATTAATGAATGGGCGGGTTGTAAACTACAGCTGTCATGACTGGTTTGTAAAAGTGTTGCCTACTTTTCAGCGCCTGTGAATGAAATATGCGAAGCTTGCAAATATTTCTACTGCCGTCTAGTGTATCGTATTACATGCTCAATGCTTTACAGTTACATCTAAGGAACAAGAGGTAGAGGCAATCAGGTTTCATTTAACTTAACATTACTTATTTCAGAGTAGACTTAAAAGAGTTTCGTTTGAATTTCATGATTCAGAAGGAAAACAAAATTGTTTTATAAAGCCAAATACCCAAAAATTTCATTGTCAACTTAGCTGCATGTAAAACAAAACAATTTAGTTAAAAAATGCTGGTCAACAAAAAAGAACAAGTGTCGCTAAATGCTTATCAAATAAATATCCTGTTAACAGCATCATTTTGATCAAAATACCAAAGGAAAAAAATGTGTAGTCGAATGATTTTCGTTTGGTAAAATTGTATATGTGCAACACAAGAATGTGCCAACAATCCATGTGCAGACACATCAGGAAAAAGTGCAGTAACATTTTTTCCAATCGCTGGTATAAAAATAGCGCAGCTGAATTGCAAAAACTAGCGTGGCAAAGATTGTGGAAGAGCGCGCAGGGCGTATAAAGGTGGGGTAAACCTATATGGGCAACTTCAACAAATCTCAATACGCAAACATGTAGCCAGGAGCAACAATAACAATGCCAACAAAAACAACACACACACTCACACACGTGTGTGTGGCAGAATGGCTGAAACTAAACCGGAGGCGCCAACATGTCCTACAAGTGATTTATTTTTATGTATTTGTTTGTAGAGCGCAAAAAAACCATCGAGAAATGCCACAAAAAATAAAGTTTTTCTCGCTGTTGTTGTTGCGGCTGAGTCGCTGCAGCGCAGGCTGATTCGCCTATCCTGGAAACGGCGAAATGGGTATCCAGCCAGCAAGGAAAGTAGTAAAGTACCAAGCGTGCAACTATTTATAGCAGCGTGCGCCGCTAAGCGGCAACATCGACAGAAAGGAAGCATACAAAATGGTGAAAAGACAGTTTGTGTGTGTGTCAGACAGAGGGAGAGAGAGAGATAAAGAGAGTAGGAGAGAGCGGATAACAGCGGAAAGGCAAGCCAAATGGCATAGCATACTTTTATGCGGGTGTCGTTGCAACTTGCAACATTTAGACGCAAATCATGGCGGACATTAGCGTGCGCAAAGTTTTGCCACGCAGGTTGAACGATTTATGTGAAAAGTTGTTACCTGATTTGGCTTGCCAACATTATGCATAAAAACTATTTGGTCTAACTTAGCAACCTGTTTCATTTTCCGCATATTTCCACTTCTTGTGAATTTCAGAGTGCCCCACCGCAATGGATGGCATGGAGCGATTCGCTTGCCCCACACCGGATCTGCAGGGACGCTATCGCTGTATAGATGACCATGTGCTGTGCGACGGCTTCATCGATTGCCCGGAGGGCGAGGATGAGGACAGAAGATCCTGCATGTTCTACAAGACGGTAAGCATAGCAGCATAGCAGCACAGCATCTCAGTATACCAATACCCACTTCATGAACCTTTCTCTCCTTCACAAATTATTTACTTTAATCATATTTTCCCCAATTGTGTCTTTTGTTCCATTACAGACGAAAGCTCATTTGGATGTGTTAGCGGATGCGTTACTACGCTGGGCGCGGGGGCGTTAAATCCACACAAAACACATACAAGCAGACACACCTTGATAAACATACACACACACTTGATAAAAAATGACAGCTAGAGAACCCACGTTAACCATAAATTAAAATTAGTTTTACTATATATTTAACATTAATCGTGCAAACCTATTAAGTTTAAACATGAACAGACACAACATACATACACACACATACTAACCACCCCGCCTGCCCACACACCCAAAAAAATAAAAATAAAAACGTATTGAACAAAATGCTAAGTTGTGGCATGTAAAAATTCAAAGTAAAAAAAAAAACAAAAACCTACTAATAATGGCAACAAATATATATATATGTATATATATGCATACACATATATATATATGAAAAGATATGATTTGTATTATTATTACACTATTAAAAACTTTAAAAATTAATACAAAAAATCTACAAATCAAGCAGCTATTCAGAAAAATAAAAAAACCAATAACAAAACAAAATAAATTAACTAAAATGGCGTTAAAATTTCGAAAAGTAAAAAACAATAATGGAAAAATGTCGTCTCTATTGTTTTGCGCATTAAGTATTCAAATATATATTTAAAAAAAGAAAATATATATATACATAGATATATATATATATACCTATATACATCAAATGCATTTGTATATCTATATATATAAATATAAATGTGTATTATATATATATATATATATATATATATATATATATATATATATATATATATATATAAATATATATATATATATATATATATATATTTCGTGTAAATTATTTAACTATACGTGTATTAAAGTTTAAATGTTAATGCCACAAAATAAAATAAAAAATATATAAATAAACAAAAACAAAAGAAATAAAATTAAAAATAAATCAAAAATGCGTAAAAAATGGCAGAGCAAGCTGCAGATCTGGCAGTAGGGGAAGAGCAAATGGGTTATATATACATATACACAAATGAAGAATGAAAAAAAAAACAAAAAAAAAACAAATATGAAAAAAAAACAGACATTAATTATATATAGTAAATATATACATATAACAAATAAATATACAATTAAAAATTGACATAGGTTTTATTGCAATGATAATGCTGATAATATGAATACGAATGCGAATGCGAATATCTGATGACCGATTATCATTCGAATGATATGAAAGCTAACTAAAGACGCCGAAGGTCTACGAATGTGTAAATGATATTTAAATATATATATATTTAAACTTATATATGTATACAAAACATAAAAATGCAAGAATGAGCAGGAAAACATTTACAAACTAATACAATGAAGGTATAACATTTACATAACAAAAAGACTTGACTTGATTATACTTATTATGATTGATAGTTGAGGTTTATTTATTTTATTACGAAACAATTATGCATTTGATTTACAATTCTTACTATGCTAAAAAAAACGAGCTTTTCTACATTCGAGATATTTTGTACATAAATTTTTATGCATTTTCCATCTATTTGTTGGGTTTTTTAATTATGTGCTTTAGCTTACCTCTTTCATCTGTATGTAGAGATCATTTCAGAATCATTTTGTATATTTATTACTGCACCAACGTCTATTTATTCTACTAAGTATAACATTTTTAGCTCACCTTTTGTTTTTTCTCATATGTGAAACAGTTCTCATGGAAATGGCAGCTATTTGTAGTTAAGAAAATTTATTTAAATCAAGTATATTTAACTAACAATGGACTTATAAATATATAACGAAACAAAAACTTTCACCTTATGCGAAAAGAAAAACAAAAAAAAAAAAGAAAAATATTAAATACTTTAGTTAAAGGCCTGTAAAAACGCTAAGTGAAAACTATATTAAAATCAAAAGAATATATTTATTTATTTCATTCTAACTTTGCAATTTTATTTCGTTGATTTCTGTTCCTCAGCTAAGATGAGCGCAAATACAACCGTTGACTGTGCTGAAGGTAAAAATTACAATACGAAAAAACAAAGAAACTATATAAAATATTATATAATTATCCATTATCGTTATAATGCATACCGAGTTCCAACAAGCAATCAATTAAGAAAACAATCAAGCAAATTTTTAAACAGGCGGACAACAGAAAAAGGAAAAGATCGAAAGAAAATCGCGAGGAAAAAAAAACGAAATTTAACAAAAAAAAAAAACAAACAAAACAAAACAAAATGTTGAAACGGTTGTGTATGCGACATGGCAAAACAATTAAACAAAACCCAATTAACCAATTAAACATAAATAAATTAATTAATTTTTAAAAATTCCAAGGAAAAAACTTAAAAGCTTGTTAATGTGGTTTTGAGAGCTATTAAAATGTTTATTTTTTTGTCTTTTTGTTTCCTAAAACATTCAATGCCAACCTTTATGTAAGCATTAAGCATAAAACTAACAATTAAAAAAAAAAACAAAATGAATCAGTTTTATTTACGAAAATAACATATGAAATTGCGAGCAATAAAATTTCATATCTTATACACAGTACGTATAAAATGCAATTAATTATAAACAATTAATGAAACCTTTATGGATACATTTTGGACTTATTATTTCGTCTTACGTGCTGACACACAGCTCAAATGCGCAAAGAAATGCAATTTACAATTAAAAACAAAGAAAAAACAAATTAAAATAAAATGAAAATTAAGTTCCCAGTCTGCAGGCCCCGGTCTGAGCTCTGTGTCCCTGCGATAACAACGATCTTCGTTAAAAATATGATATACTAAAAAGCCAATGTTTTCAATATAAAGCATAAATAACGAGTATTCTTGTGCTTATTGTTTCACTCTTATTTAATCAATTATAATTTTCATTTTCTATTAATAACTGCAAAATAACCCACCTTTAAATATAAAAGATAACATTAATAACAAATGATATAATCGATTTCTATACCGGTATAATAACTCTACATAAATGTTGCTTACTACCAAAACGAAAAGAAAGAAGAAAACAAAAATCAAATTAAATGTTTAATAAAGTGAATAAAACATAAAAAGTATATATACATATATATGGAAAGTATATATATATGCGTATTATCCTGGCAAACATTATGCACAAAAGAAATCCTTTACCATAAATAAAAATCGCACTAAGTAAACCCCGATAAATAAAAACAAAAACCGAACACAAATCAAAGTAAACCAAATGTAAAGCGACAGATGGAAATTTTAAAGACATTTTTGAATGAGAATTGAAATGAACGAAAACCAAAAACAAAATGGAAAATATACATATATACATCTATTTTTGGCCTATTTTTCTATAACCGAAACAAAAACGAAAACAACTTTTTAAACTGCAACAAAAGCGAAAAACAAATGCAAAACCCAAAAAAAACAACAACAACAAAAGAAATGAAAAACTTTTATAATACGAAATAGAGCAACATAAATATCTATCGTTAGTTTGATGTGCGTTAATGTAAATACACATAAGTTACTTCATTTTTATATGTATGTCTATATACATACCTGATTTTTCTTAAATTCATCTTATTTTCTTATCTATTTTTGAGTCTAACGAAGATCGTTTGAGTTTTTTTTTTTTGCATTTCCTTGACTTGAGTTTTTGGGCTGCCAAGTCGAATCGGCAACCAAATTGTATGTACAAATTTGTATATAAATGTTAACTAAATATCAATGAGCAACAATTTTTATTTCCAATAATTTGTATGAATTTTGCGACAAGAACTTGATATTTTGTTTATTTTTTTAGTACAACATATTAAATACATATAATTTAAGAATAGCGAAAATAACAAAGAAAACATTAACCTAGCAAAACCCAAAGAAGAAATGACAAAAACAAAAACAAAAACGAAAAATAGTTTCTTAAAGCATATAACAAGCAAATATGATAACAAATAATTGTTAAATGTTTAAAGTAAAACACATATACAAGTGCATAAGCAAACACATACCAACACACACTCACACATACAGATACTCACACACACACATACACTTATACACAGTAAAATTATATACACATACCGTTTAAGTATATAGAAGACACTCATGCAACACATTCAGTCAATAATGAAATGAATGAGAAACATAAAGAAATAAAAATAACACTAATTGTATTTATTTGTATTTGTATATTTAAAAAAAAAAGAAAAGAAATGAAAAGAAAACACAAAAAAAGCGAAAAACGAAAATTAACTTTAACTATTAATGTAGCAAATGGTCTCAACGCAATGCCATTCGCACAATTTTTTAACAACTATTTAAAAACGAAATGAAAATGAAAATGAAAATGAAGAGAATAACAAAGATCAATTCGAACTCTTATTTCTAACTATTTATACTTTGTATGTATTTGTATTTGCTGTACATAAGTTTAGCCTGCCTCTGTCTCTGTCTCTCTTCTTCTTTGACCCTCTCTTTCTCTCTGTTGAAGTTTTTCATTTGTAAAAGAACACGTTGATGATTAGAATGATTATGATAACCATGTCGATGATGACGATGTATAATGTGCGCATTTTTTGCGGCCATTTTTTTTAATATAATTATAATTCCATTATAATTTATTGTTTACATATTAATTATATATACATATATATATATATATATATATATATATATATATATATATATATATATATATATATATATATATATATATATATATATATATATTAAATAATTATATATACGAATATTATAATATACAGAAAACAAACAACAAAACAACAAAAAACTATACATGAAGAAGAAGAAAACAAATACACAACTTAATATACACTGAAAACAAAACGAAACAAATGCATTTCTAATTTCATATATTACCTCTCTATAGACACTCTTCTCTCCCCACAACAGATGCGTTTCCTTTTAAAAAGTTGCCAACAATTTCAAAACAATTTAAATTGTCTGTTCTGTTTTGTTAATTGCATTATGTTGGTTATGTTGGCGAATATGCACAGAATTCTAGTTAAGACCAAGTTTTTAATTACTTTTTGAATAGTTTTTAATAGTTTCCATTTGTTTTCATTCTAGTTATTCGAGAATTCTTTTATTCACTGCTCGCAAGTTTTCCTTTTCTCTCGTTAATTCTCTGAAAGACTTAACCAAAGTCTCTCCACACCAACAACACAACAAGCAACACAAACGACAGTTCACACAGCACAGCATATGGCGAGAGCTGTAGCAGACTCTACACACACAACACACAGTAAGTTCTCCCTATAAACAATACTCTAAAATATTCCCACACATATTTAATTTGCACGCT